AAAAAATAAAACGTGATTTTTTCCTCTATAAAATAAAATATTTTGAGAAATTTGTCTTTGATAGATATTTGTACTTGATAGACAGACAGAATAGGCTTAATGTAAAGACTAAGCATTTGTCTTTAATTAGTATAACAGAAATAAGAGGCAGTTTGTTGTTGTACAGTTTATGTAGAGTGTATGGACTATATAAATAACATTTAAAAACATTATAGTTTGCCTGCCTCAATCTATCTCTAGATTTTAGCACAGTCTCTGCAAAGCAGACAGAATATGTTCTGTCTTTATTTGCTGTGAATCAGGTTAGCCGGTGTATGGAGAGTGACAGGCGCCAGCAGAGACGGGCCGAGAGGATGATGGCAGCTAACCTTTCGCAGAAATCATTTTTCATTTTCCTCAGCTGTGTCCACTGCCTGCAGATCTGCCTGGGGAGAGGTGTGTGATGCATCCAGAAGCAGCCGTTCCCTGCGGTGCCGGCCACGGAACTGTAATTTGATTCCAGAAAACTCTACGGCTCGAGACACCAAGTCGCCTGACTGTTTCTCTTTAAAACCCCTAGTTATTATTTTTTTTTTTTTCTTATGATATGAGATGCTTTGACTTTTGGCATGAATGTATAATGAACTGAGCAGGTGGGTTTGTTTACGGAGTCCGGTGGGATCTTCTGCGGTCACGTACTGTATGAGCATATCCACCTCTTAATTTGTACAGGGAACTGCTGAAATATATATTTTTTTCCATGGATCCTTATGGTCCTTTCATGTTTGACAAGACTATGCAACACTTTTATACAAAGATATGTATAGTATTTGAAATTACAAGAGTGTGTCCCTACAGGCATTGGGATAGTTGCGGGAATAGAAATCACAGGACATACTAGAATTGTCAAAAATATGCTATGTAGCATTTACGTAGATCTGTAATTCAACACTGTTCTAAAAATCTATACTCATGTGGCTCAATTATACAGAGAGCATGCAAATGAAGCCTAGTGCCCCTCTTGAAATCAAATAATTCAAGTACGGGTAGGAGGCACTGGCTATATTTAAACAGAAAGCTGATTTAAGAGCCTCTTGCAATATATGTATATGTTTTTTTGGGCCTATAGAACAGTTAGTTCCTGTCCTCGAATCTGGCCGTGCAACTTTCCAAGAGTGCTGATGTAACAGTCCAACATCACTCTGGCCTGCATTGTAGTGTTCCAGACAGACTGTCAGTCTGTGAATTAGTGGTGGGTATTTTAGTGTGTCTTTTGTGCAGGTTAAATGGTTACACCAGTAGGTGGCAACAAGTCCCAAATTGCACACTTTATGTGCTCTTATGGACTTGCAGACTTACAGTGGCCTCTGTGTGCGCATGTCCGATAAGTCCACGAGAGCGTAGTGTTTGGCATTTATTATTTTAACTTTCAGATGGGTCCTCGCTAGCGGCCGCTATGCACCCTCAATGCACACTTCTGCCGAGCCTCATTGAAGCAAGCTTCACAGCAGACTTCTACACGACAGTCAAAGTGGCGGCCTTCTACATGAAAGTCAAAGTGGCGTTACGTCATGAAAGTGTGGACTCAGAGGAAGACCACAAGGGTTTAGTGTGTCATTTGGCACAGGGCCTGACTGTCTTTTTGAGTGAATCATTGAGATGATTCATTCAGTGAAGCTGATTCATTTAAGAATGGATGCTTCCAAATATGCTAACTTCCCAACTATGTAGTAGATGAAAAACAGTATGTGAAAATAGTATGTCCAAATACATAAAACAGTCAACGAAAAACCTAATACTTCCAGCGAGATTCCTCAAGCGACACTTTACTATCTCAGCATGGTTATTGTTAATGGCAGTGAAGCAATGCAAAATCCTCAAGCGACACTTTACTATCTCAGCATGGTTATTGTTAATGGCAGTGAAGCAATGCAAAATCCTCAAGCGACACTTTACTATCTCAGCATGGTTATTGTTAATGGCAGTGAAGCAATGCAAAATCCTCAAGCGACACTTTACTATCTCAGCATGGTTATTGTTAATGGCAGTTAAGCAATGCAAAAAACGGCATATGTTACATGCAAAGCACAAAACACTTTTTTTTAAACCGTTGTAAGGTTCATTATTATCAGTTGTAATACCTGCTCAGACAGTATGCGATTTGCGACATACAAACTGTCTTTATAAGTGAGTCATTGCATTATTCACTCAACCAATTCTTAAAAAAAAATGTTCACTCACTCAGGAACACAACTTTGAGTGAATATTAGAAGCATTCTCTCAAACAATTTGTTCAAAAACACTGATTCCATCAAGAACAAAGTATCGAGTTATTTTTAATTTTTTTTCTATTTCATTGGCAGAGAAAGAACAGACCGTGAATCTTATTGTATGACTTGATGAAGAGATTTGGATATAATTTATTCTCTCACCTATTTTACTCCACCACCTTTTAATCCCAAAACCTACTACTTAAGATTAATTGCACTATGAGGACCTTACCCACAACATAATTGCCTGTTAAATTCATGAATATGTTAATGTGTAAATTCGGCATATGCTGAAGGAGAGAAAACGTATAGGTCCAGTTTTAAAGAGTGTTGAAGCTGATTCTGATTTATTTAAATGAGGCGGAGAAAGCTTACAAAAATGAGCAGCATTATCCTCCTCCACAGAAACACATGCGGTGGACAGGAGGAGGTATTCTAATCATCTGACTTTTGACATTCCTTCTGCCAAGCGCAGCAGTTCTCTAACTCGGCTTTGTTCTGGAATGATGGCTCCAGCTCAGAGGCATTTATAAACCTGTGGGTCACTTGTGTTAGTGCGCAGCAAGGGCTTTGAAGATGTGAGATGGCATCCTAAAGAAACTCTAGCTGAGCGTTATTATCAATGAGCAAAAAAAAAGGTTTTTCCTTTATACACTTTTTTTTTGTAAAAATAAAGCAATAATGAATCTCTTTTCCTGGACTGTTAGACGTATTACTCCCATACTAATTTTCCTCCTGAAATGGTGTAATTAAAGACGATTAAGTGTTTAAACCTGCGTGGCAGGAGAGCCGAAGGTCTGGCTGCTTAAGGAGAGTTTTAAGTGCTATGCGCAGAGAGGCATGAAGGTGCCGGAGCCGTTATCAGATCCGCTGCCTAATCGCACCGCTCATATGTAGCCAACCTGCAATTAGGGCTTCATAATGGGGAGGGTGTTATCTCTGCCAAAAGTGCTTCATTTTAGGGCACATTTAGATTAAAGTTTTGCAAAGAATAGAGGAGATTTCATCCAATCATTCTAGCAGACTGCCTATTGTGCTGGTTAAGTATTGTGGCGGTACCATGGTACATTGATGGTATCAGATAGTAATACTGTAGTACTTTGACATGTGGGTAACTGTCAGGAAACTGTTATGCGTGTCTTACTCAGTACTGCAAATGTAATTAACTAATGCAGTTAGTATGCAGTGCAAATGAACTGCTAAAAAATATTTATTTTTAAATATGTGTGTTTAATCAGAATCTAAGTCAATATACATATCCCCAGTTCATTGTCTTTAAATATTTTAATTGGTTACTTAACAAAACACAATATGTTAATTTCTAAATGTTGCTTTTATTGAAATCAAATCATAATGCTTTAACTGCACGAAAATGCGTATACTCAAAAATATAGCTTTCATAATGAGTATTTTATTGTTGTTTACACTGTCAAGCTCAATAGTTCAACTTAGTTATGGGGAAGAAAAATGTCAAGGAGTTTTTTTTAATACTAATATTAATATTGCTGTTGGTGTATGCAACACACACAAATAATGCAGCTAGCTAAGAGAACAACATATTGGTAGTAAATATATTTTTTAAAGAGAAATGGCTTTGGTTATTAATGTTGCTCTCAGTTATAATGTGTGATTTATTACAAATCACGCCGGAACTGAGTGATACCACCAGAATTACTCTAAAATCTCTTCAAATGATACATTATATGCTGTATAAGATTTAATGAATTATAAATTCTAAACCTTTTGGGATGTGGGTGAAAAAGTACCACTTTTAGAGGTATCAGTGATAAAACTTGTACTTTTGGTCCTTTTTGGGCACAAATTAAGGTTTGGGGATATAATAGGCCTAGTTTTCGAATTAGTCAGTGAATAACTCATATTAGTTGACCACTAATCTTATACTGGGAGAGAAGAATACCCCTGTGGTAAATAATAAGTGATCATGCTAAATTGTATTATATTTCAAATGATTAAATTCTTAATGCTGACAAATGTGACCCTGGACCACAAAACCAGTCATAAGGGTCAATTTTTCGAAATTGAGATTTATACATCATTTGAAAGCTGAATAAATAGGCTTTCCATTGGTGGGTGGTTTGTTAGGATAGGACAATATTTGGCCGAGATACAACTATTTGAAAATCTGAATCTGAGGGTGCAAAACAATCAAAATATTGAGAAAATTGCCTTTAAAGTTGTCCAAATGAAGTTCTTAGCAATGCATATTACTAATCAAAAATTAAGTTTTAATATATTTACAGTAGGACATTTACAAAATATCTTCATGGAACATGATCTTTACTTAATATCCTAATGATTTTTGGCACAAAAAAAAATAAAAAATTTTGACCCATACATTGTATTTTTGGTTGCTACAAATATACCCCAGCGACTTAAGACTGGTTTTGTGGTCCAGGGTCACACATGGGTAAAGCCTAATGGGTAAAGCCTAATGGGTAAAGCAAATGGGTAAAGCATGGTTAAAATGTATGATGGTCATTATTTTTACTCATAAATAAATAAAAAATAAATGAATCAATCAATCAATCAATTAAACGGGACACATGCTAATGTACAGAAAAAAAATAAAGCTGTGCTAAACTTTTATTGTTTTGATGCTTGAAAGATCTATCTATCTATCTATCTATCTATCTATCTATCTATCGTATGATTCCTACATACATCCATAAAACAGTTCGTCCCCTTATAATTATAAGGTTCTATCTGACATTTTTGTCAAAATGTAGTTATTCACATATTCTTATTCTGTGAGAACTTATTTACATTATGTGATAGATTTTGTAATGTTGTGTACATTTTGGGACTTTTTTATTTAAAAAACAAAAATGTTCTATCTACTAGGGCTTCCCCCTAATATTCGACTAATCGCCTAAAGGCCAAAAGCCAGAAGAGGCTTGGTCGACCAAAATTGTATTAGTTGCTGAGTCGCAAAAATCCACAGGCGAAGTCACGCAGTCTGTGACGGACAGATATTGTTAACGGCTAGTCTATGGTAATACATCAGACAGGACATCCAAACGCTCATGCCTATCATTCATCGACCTCAAATATGGCTTATCATCTGAAATATGTAAGTATTATTAACTTTACATGGCCGCTCAATCTAATGTTAACCTAGAGAAATGTGCGCTATTCAAGTGTCTGTGTGGAGTGTATAGCGCGCTCACTGCAGGACAGATGGCACCGGTGCGTCACTTGCTCTTAAACTATTTCGTAATTTTTGCTCATACGGATACAGTAATACATCTTTCAAATCTGTAAAGACTCTACATTTATTTGTGTGCACTCACAATAACAACAAAACGTGCTTTTGTAAAATGTTGAAAGCAAACAGGTTGCGCTTTCTGCCGTCTCGGTCTATGAACTTGAGCGCGAAACTCCGTGTATATCTTTGCCTTACAGACATTAAAAATATATCTATAGAGAGTGAAATGTCTACTTTTAAATGAACCAATTCAAATGGAAAACAAATATTCTCAGATTATGTAATCCATATGAAACACGCATACAGGTGCGTCCACTACTGCAGAGATGACGAGTCAGTTTCAATGTCACATACTTCATCTCTTAAACCGAAAGCACTAGTTTATCAAATTATTAAAATGTTAATGCAGCCTCCTTACTGTTTTTCCCTGACACATTCATAATCATTACTTCTGCCGGTGTGCTGTGGCAAGCTTTTTGCGTGTACTTGAGCACTTATTAGGCTATATAGGCAATTAAAGGCTCATTATAGTGATTTAAATGGTTTATTATTAATAAACGTGCGATTAGTCAACTAATGCTTAAAATGAATGACTACTAGTCGACCAGAAAAATCCTTAGTCGAGGGCAGCCCTACTATCTACACAGTCGAATGGAGAAGCTCAAGATCTCAAAACTACTCGGAATGCAGATAGAAGGGGACGAGTTGGTTATTCTATGATACGTTTTTTAATTTTTTTTACAGGGGTCATATGATGCGATTTCAAGTTTTCCTTTCTCTTTGGAGTGTTACAAGCTCTTGGTGCATAAAGAAGATCTGTAAAGTTGCAAAGACTAAAGTCTCAAATCCAAAGAGATATTCTTTATAAAAGTTAAGAGTCAACCACGCCTACCTAAAACGGCTCGTTC